CCACAGGGTGCAGTGTGGAAGAGATGAGTATTCAGCTCTTTGAAATGGGTAATTGATGTATAGAAGTCAATACTTGCATAGAGGGAGTCAATCTTAATACTGGCCTGGGTACTGGAAGAGAAGGTATGCTTTGCACGTTCATAAGCGATGTGCATCTCCCTGATGTCCTTCTTGTGCTTTTGCTTGACCTCAGCAATGAAATGGTTGACCATTTGTTTGTCAAAGTCCTCCTCACCCAAGTGGGGGTCCCCAGCTGTGGACTTGACCTCAAAGATGCCATCTTCAAAGGTAAGGATGGAGACATTAAAAGTACCACCTCCAAGGTGATCGACACGTTTTTCTTGGCACCAACCTTTTCATCCAAGCCATAAGCAATAGCAGCAGCAGTTGGCTCATTGATCATTTGGAGCACATTGAGACAGGCAATGTTTCCAGCATCTTTGGCGGCCTGACATTGAGAGTCGTTGAAATAGGCTGGTACTGTGACCACAGCATTTGTGACAGTCTTCCCAAGGTAAGCTTCAGCAATTTCTTTCATCTTGGTCAAGGCCATAGAAGATACTTCTTCTGGATAGAAACTTTTGGTCTCCCCTTTGTACTCCTCTTGGACCTTAAGCCTGCCTACATCATTTACCACCATAAAAGGTCAATGCTTCATGTCTGACTGTACAACTATGTTGTCAAGTCTGCAACCAATCAGATGTTTGGCATCAAAAACTGTGTTGATAGGGTTCATTGCAACTTGAGCCTTTGCAGCATCACCAATTAAATGTTCTGTGTTGGTGCAGGCGATGTAGCTTGGGGTGTCCCTGTCTCCTTGGTCATTAGCAGTGATCTCCACTTTCCCATGTTGAAAGACTCCCACACACAAATAAGTGGTGCCAAGGTCAATGCCAACTGCAGGTCCCTTTGATATGGTTGCTGGGGGGTAATGGGTAGTAGCTGACTGCTGTGGAGGAAGAAGGACTGCTGATGCACTGAGTAGTGGGAGGTATCCTCTCATATTTCTTCTTTGACGATAGACATTTTAATTTTAATTTACCGACCTCTAACTTTGTTTTTGGGCCTGTAATTTATTCTGTATTTCAGTGGGTCCCATGACAACCCTAACAGTTAGGACTGAAGGTCTGGTTATCTCCATTTTGCAGAGGAGGAAACAGCAACAGGAAGATACTGCCTCTGTCTGGGTCCCACAACTGATAAGGCAGCAATTGAAATTTCAGCTTGGGTCTTCCTGGCTGCAAGCCCATCAGGCTCTACACCAAGCTGCTTCCATGCCTAGATCCATAACTGAAAGGGACCTCAGAGGACATCCAGTCCAGCCACCTCAATTTGTAGATCTATGAATTATGTCCCATGGAGGGTAAAGGGACTTCTGAAGGTCTTACAGGCAGTAAACCTCAGAGGCAGGATTTGAACACAGGTCCTCTGACACCAAAGCCAGTTTATTTCTACTAGAACTAATTGCCTCATAGTATTATCATATTCATTTTACAGGGGAGAACATCAAGATTCAGACAGGGAGGATCTCATCCAAGGTCACACAGGTCTGGGCAGTACTAGACCTCAAACTTAGGACTCCAAGTGTGGTGTTCATTCCATTATGCCAACCCTGTGACAAACATGGGCTCAGCAATGGGAGGGATCTCAGAGGGCATCTGGTCCAGTCCAGCCCTCAACAGAAATCCCCTTTCCAACAGCCCCAACAAGTCATCCTCCAGCCTCCACTGAGAGATTCCAACCAAGTTCTCTTCTAGCCCTACCGTGCTGCTACTGAAGATGAATCCAATAAATATAAAAGGAGTTGGGGGAAGCATGACTGGTTGGTAAACAAGCTGGCAGAGATGCCACTTCTGAGGATCTTCTTATAACACACCAGCTCAGATTCAGCAGCTGATTTTGAAGGACAAAGATGACAATTCAAAGGTTTAGCTTTGGCAAACAGAGCCATGTGTAAAGGAGAGGACCAAAAAAAAAGTATGTCTAGTGGATTTGAAGGAAAGAGAGGCTTTTAGCCTGGGCCTAGATGAGATCCATGTGGCAGGATCACAAAGAAGCCTGTCTCACAAGGAACAATATGCTAAGGGCTTTTCCCAGCTTCCTATCATGATGAATAAGTGTCAATAGAGTTTAGCCTGCAGTCCAGACTGGATCAGTCTCTAACCTGAGAATAGCCTGAGCTGAACAGAGCAGGCTAGATGCAGGTGTCAGGACATAAAGTAGTGTATAATTTATTTCAGAGTGAGGAAAGTGACTTTCACGAAAGGGAGGCCCCCATCCTGAGAAGGAGGGCTTAACACATTGGAATACAAGCAATGCTAATATAGACAAGTGGGCTGGGCTATGTCATTTTTCGGTCCTGAGTTACTGTGCCCACAGGTCCTGTTGGAACAGTATTGTCCCAAGTCTTGGGGGGTTATTACTACTCTATGCAGTACAGAATGTGATGGGAACAGGAATACAGTAGAAGAAACAGGAATTATGAGCATGTCAGAGATGTGATGGATGTTGGCTCCCAGGTCCCTGTGAAATAAAGGGAGTGAACATGTGGTGCAAAACACTTTGCCAGAGGGTGAGATCATCTGGAGAGCAAAGGATATTGTTATGCAAGCTCAGGACACAGCCTGCTTGTTGGGTCTTAGCTCTGGAAAACAGGATATCTCCAAAATGTTTTGACAATAGCTAGAAAGAGAACAGACTTTTCTTTTCCTGATGAGATGAATTCTCTCCTCCTTTCTTACTGAGAATGTGCCCAGATGATTGTTATTCCAACATTTGTCACTTTCCCTTTCAATCATTTTAGCCAATCTGGTAGGTGTAAAACGATATATCAAGCTTGTTTTAATTTGCATTTCTCTCATCAATAATGATTTAGAGCAGGTTTTCATATGAATATAAGTCCTTTTGATTTCTTTATCTAAAAAACTGCCTGTTCATTTCCTTCGACTATTTATCAGTAGGGAGGTCAGTTGCTAATCAGCCCCTTCTGACCACCACATCTAAGAGGCAGGCTGAATTGTAAGAGGAAGCTTGGGAGGCAGCCTGACACTGAGCAGAGAATTATTCTTGGATCCAGGAGTCTGGGGCCGACTGATTCTTCAAAGGTCTCATTAATTGTCATTTTTATTCCATTGTGATCAGTAAGGTATATACTTAAAATTTTTAATTTTCTATATTCCAGTATGGAATCTTATGCCGTACGTAGCACATGGTTAATTTATGTAAAGATGCCATAAATGGCTGTGATATATAGAACTTCCATTATATTCCCACTCAAGTAATCACAAAAGATGTAACATATCTTACTTTCTAGAGATGTATTCAGGCTATTAACTCTCATGCTTTGGTTAATTAATATTTTTCAATGATTGAATACAATGAAATCTGTGAACCATTAGCACCCCAACTACCAAGGAACCAGTTGGAGACTTAGAGAAGAGCATTTCTAGAAAAGCCTCTAGCCAACTGTGTTGCCCATAGGAAAGGGAACTGTATTCCACATTCACCAGTCATCTACATATTGGGCCCGTAAGTTCGTAGATCCATGTCCAGTTACTCAGTAGAGAGGAGCGGAAGGAAAGACACAGTCCATACCCTCAAAACCCATATACTCTGCTTAGTGACACTGAGAAAAAGGGTAGAAGTCAAACCAAATCAAGAAGCATGTATTAAGCACCTGCTATGTGCCAGGCACTGTGCTATTAGACACAGGGGTTACCATGAAAAGCAAAATTCATTCCTTGCTCTCAAGGGGCTCACAGTCTAATGAGGGAGACCACACAAACCTTTACACAAAACAAGATATATGAAGGTTGAATTGGAGATAATATTAGGAGAGAAGACACTAGCATTATGGGGAATGAGGAAAGGCTTCTGGCAGAAGGTGAGATTTGAGCTAGATCTGAAGGACACCAGAGGAGTCAGGACATAGAGAGGAGGAGGAAGAATTGCAGGTAAGAGAGACAGCCAGTGAAAATGCCTCAAGTAGGGAGGTGGGGGGTATTGTTTGAGGAACAGACAAAAAGCCAGGGTCACTGGGGGCAGAAGACTCAGGGGGAGGAGGGTGTAAGATGATGAAAGAGGTAAGAAAAGGCCAGGTTGTGAAGGGCTTTCAACACTAGAGGGTTTTTATTTATCCTAGATGTGATAGAGAGACACTGTATGTTATTGAATTGGGGGTTGGCATGGTCACACCTGAACTTCAGGGAGATCTTTTTGACTGTTGAATGTCAAATGCTGGAGATCAGAAAAGCTGGAAGCTGGGAAGCCAACCAGGTGATAAAGTTTTGCATGAAGATAGCACAAGTAACAGAGGAGAGAAGGAGATTGTTATGAGAGATGTTAGAAAGGCAGACTGGACAGAGCTTGGCTATGGAGGACTAGATATTGGGAGGCAGGGAAAGAGAGAATAAGGAGTTGAAGTTGACAGTAGTAGAGAAGGTTGGAAATTGGGAACGTTTAGGGGGAAAGAGAGTGAGCTCAGTTCTGTACATTTGTTTAATGTCTATGGGGCATCCAGTTCAGAGTGTCCAATAGGCCCTAGAGGTCAGGAGAGAGATTAGGGCAGGATCAGTGAAGCTGAGAAGCCTCTGCATAGAGAAAATCATTGAATCCATGTGAGCTGCTGAGATCATGAAGAGAAATACAGAGATAGAAGATCAATGAGCTAGAAGTTAATGTAACAAGTCTTCAGGGAGTAGGCGGCCCATTGAATAAATGGAAAGGAGCAGGGAGGACATTACAGGCTAGATAACATAGTGTGATCTGAAGTATGGAGGTTGAAAGGAAGATGAGGTGTGTGGGAACCAGCCTGTCCTGTGAGATCTGTATGAGGAGGGCAAGATGAGGTGGGATGGACACAGAGTTTCTATGCCCTTTAATGTGTCATTGCCCAGACTCTGAGACAACACTCGTGGTTCCTAGGGCTAAGGGATCAGTGGGAGCAATTTTCAGATTCTGTTATCCTGTTCTTCACTGCCAATATCCTTTCTTGTTCGTAGTATCTCCCTGGTTGGGATCCTGTCAACCATGATATGGACCATAAGATGGACTCACCAGCCAGCTTCCTACAACAGCCGCACTCCACGTTTATACCTCATACTCCTCATCCTTGTGCTTTCTGGTATTCCTAGCTCAGGTAAGTTCACTTTGGTGTCTGCCATGCACAGATCACTAACCACTGATATTTCAATTCAATCAAACCCTCAATTCAAGAAACACTCATTTAGCCCCCAACGCTCACAGAACCTTACGTTTTAATATTAGGAGAGGTTAAAAGTTTAGATAAGGAATGATCTTGGATCTCAGGGTCATTGCCCTCCACCTAGGCATCTTCACCAATATGGGCAATACAGAATCATAGAATTGTAGAGTTGAAGGTGATCTCACACACTTCAAGGACTGTGAAGGCTGGAGACACATTTGAATAGAAGGATCTCTCATAATGAGGATCCACAGTTTTCAGTAAAGGGAGAAACTGTCATTGTTCAGGTCAACTCTTGAATAGAGGGGGAAATGTTAGATAATCTTGTACAATATAGAAGGGGTCTATGAGAGCAATATGGAAGGGCTTTCAAATATCTCTGCACATCCATTTAAACTTTGGCACTTTAAGTTTCTCTGCTCTACTAGCAAGTTATCTTAAATATTCATAATATAAGAAAACTAGTGGAGATTCATGGGCATTCCCCAAAATGGGTTTTGAGAATATAAGCTCACAACCAAGGAAATTATGGGAATTCCAAAAAATTTGTAACTCCAAGTAACTTTGTTGTCTGGGACCAGGGATCCTGAGCCACCATACTTAGCCAGGCAATCAACAAAAGCCATCAGAATGTTATAAGCCAAGACTGGCTATTTTTTTTATTGTCTTGGTCCAGTGCTTCCTGGGGATGTTTGGTTCTAGATAACTATCTGACTAGAGGACAAAAAAATCCTTCAAAACTTATATAAAATAGTTGCACAAGAGTCTATGTCCACAGACCCATTTTGGGGACCCAATTCCTATTCCCCCATATCCCAACAATTCTCCAGGTCTTTTTGGAGATTAGGACATGAAGACTTAATCTTACTACCAATATCTTCTTTGGTTAGCCCTGAAATAAATCTAGGGACTAGAAGAAGAGTTAATAGAAGCAGAGGGTCCACATTGTGTCTTTGTAAGGCAAATTTGCCTCATTCATGACTAGAAGATGTCCCTGGTCTCTCAACTGAACAGTGTAAACTAGAGTCACAGAGCATTGAAGCTGAGATGGCTAACTTTACACATGATCTGATGCAGTCACCAACCCCTATTTCTTTTATTTCTTTTTAATGTTTTATTTCTCAAATTTTTAATTTATGGAATATAATATAGTCTAATAAAAGATGATTACACATGAAACTACAAATCTGTTATGTACAACTTTCTATTCCTTTTAAATATATAATAAAGTTATCACATGAATTTCTTTTTTTTCTCCCCCTACTCTGCCTTAGAGATGGCTACCATTAGACACAAATATGTATGTGTGTGTGTGTGTGTATATATATATATATATATATATATATATATATATATATATATATATATATATACATGTATATATATATATATGTATACACACACATATACATACATACATAAATATACATATATGTATAAAATCTTTCTATAAATGCTTCTATTTATCAGTTCTTTCTCTGGATGCAAATAATGTCTTCCTTCATATTTCCTTTGTCATATGTCATATGTTTATTTGGGTATTTATCATAGTCAAAATTACTTATTAACTCAAAATTGTTCTTAAAACAATATTGCTATTACTGAATTCAATGGGCTCTCAGTTATGCTTACCTTCCTCTTCATTATTTTGTGCAATTCTATCCATGTTTTTTTTCCTAAGGTCATTGAGCTCATCATTTGTTATACCCAGTAGCATTCCATCAAGATCATACACCACAACTTGTTCAGCCATTCCCCAATTGGTGGGCATCCCTGTAATTTCCAGGTCCTTCCTATCACAAAAAGAGTTGCCACAAACATTTTAGAGCATCTAGGTTCTTTTCCTTTTTCCCTAATCATTTTTGGAAATAGACCTAATAGACCATCTACTTCTGGGAGCCAAGATGGCAGAGTAAGCAGCAAATTGCTCTTCCTCTTACTTATTGACTTCTGAAGAAGCAGAAAATAGCACCCCAGGAAAAATTCTGGAACAGCAAAACCAGTGGTAAGATGGGGTGGAGCTGTCTTTTAGCCTGGGAAACTTGGATGATCAGCAAGAAACGTCCATCTCACTGAGGCAAAAGGTGAGCACAGTCCAGGACAGGAGGGGTCCCAGCAAGCCAGCAACAAGCTCCACCTCAGCAAACCAGCAGGAGATCCGGAATCCCAACGTGGTGGAGCAAGCAAGAGCCAACACAAGGACTCCCTGCCCTCACGTGCCTTAGCATAGCCAGGGAAACTGGAAGACTCCAGCTCAGAGAACCACCACATGCCACATCCCCTGACAGGCAGGCATCCTCCAGAAGCCAAGCCTCCCCATACTCTGGTGCAGGGGGCAGGACACAGGAGGGGAGAAGGACTGTATTAGGAGAAGAGGGAAGAAGGAAGAAGAAAAAGGTAAATTACATCATATGAAGAGGCACAAAAACCTATTACAGTAGAGGGAAAGAAGGGAGGGAGGTGATCATTGTTTGAACCTTACTCCCATCAGATTACATTCAAAGAGGGAACAGCATACCTACTCAGTTGGGTTTAGAAAGCTGTCTTGCCCTATAAAAAGTAGGAGGGGAAAGGGGAAATAAAAGAGGGAGGTGGATAGAAGGGAGGGCAGAAAGAAGGGCAGAAGTCGTAGGGGAAAAGGAAAAAAAAGGGAAGGGGGTTGATAGAAGGAAGGACAGATTGAGGGAGGCAGTAGTTAGAAGCAAAACACTAGTGAGGAGAGAAAGGGAGAAGGGAGAGAAAAAAGCATAAATGGGGGAAAATAGTATAGCAAGAAAGACACAGTAAATTTAACTGAGAATGTGAATAGGATGAACTCACCCATAAAGCAGAAGCATATAGCAGAATATATTAAAAACCATAGTCCTACAATATGTTGTTTACAAGAAACACATTTGAAGCATAGAGATACATACAGAGTAAAGGTAAAAGGCTGGAGTAAAATATATTATGCTTCAACTGAAATAAAAACAAAAAGCAAGGGTAGCAATCCTGATCTCAGACAAAGCAAAAGCAAAAATAGATCTAATTAAAAGAGATAAGGAAGGAAACTACATCCTGCTAAAAGGTACCATAGACAATGAAATAATATGAAATAACAATGAAATACTAAACATATATGCATCAAGTAGTATAATGTCCAAATTTTTAGAGAAGTTAAGTGAGTTATAGGATGAAATAGACAGCAAAACTATACTAGTGGGAGACCTCAACCTCCTCCTCTCAGAACTAGATAATTCCAACCACAAAATAAACAAGAAAGAAGTTAAAGAGGTGAATAAAATTTTAGAAAAGTTAGGTGTAGTAGACCTCTGGAGAAAATTAAATAGGAATAGAAAGGAATATACCTTTTTCAAAGTGGTACCTGGCACCTACACAAAAAATTGACCATCTAGTAGGGCATAAATCCAATGCAGAAAGACAGAAACATTAAATGCAGCCTTTTCAGATCATGATGCAATAAAAAATACATATAATAAAGGACCATGGAAAGATAGACTTAACATTAATTGAAAACTAAATAATCTAAGACTAAAGAATGAATTGCTCAAACAACTAATCATAGAAACAGTCAATAACTTCATCCAAGAGAATAACAATAATGAGACAACATGCCAAAATTTATGAGATGCAACCACAGCAGTTCTTAGAGGAAATTTTATGTCTTTAAATGCTTATATGAACAAAATAGAGAAAGAGGAGATCAGTGAATTGGGTATGAAACTAAAAAAGCTAGAAAAAGAATGAATTAGAAATCCTCAATTAAATACTAAATTAGAATTCTAAAAATCAAAGATGAGATTAATAAAACTGATATTAAGAAAACTGTTGAACTAATAGATAAAACTAAGAGCCAGGTTTATGAGAAAAATAATAAAATAGATAAATCTTTGATTAATTTGATTTAAAAAAGGATGAAAACTAAATTACTAGTATCAAAAAAGAAAAGAATGAATTCACCACAATGAAGAGGAATTTAACAATAATTAGGAGCTATTTTGCCCAACTGTATGCCAAGAGCTTTGATTATCTAAGTGAAATGGATGAATATTTACAAATATACGAATCACCCAGGTTAACAGAAGAGGAAATAAAATACTTCAATAACCCTATTTCAGAAAAAAAATTGAACAAGCCATCAGTGAACTCCCTAAGAAAAACTCTCCAGCCCAGGTGGACTTACAACTGAATTCTACCAAACATTTAAAGAATAATTAATTCCAGTACTACATAAACTATTTGGAAAAACAGGCAAAGAATGAGTCCTACCAAATTCTCTTTATGATAACAATATGATGCTGATAACTAAAATAGAAAGAGCTAAAACAGAGAAAGAAAAGTACAGACCAATTTTCCTGATGAATATAAATGTAAAATTTTGAAAAAATTAGGAAAAAGCTTACAGCAACTTATCATGAGAATAATACACTAGGACCAATTGGGATTTATACCAGGAATGCAGGGCTGGTTCAGTATAAGAAAAGCTATCAGCATAATTGACCATATCAACAACAAAACTAACAGAAATCACATGATTGTCTCACTAGATTCAGAAAAAGCTTTTGACAAAATACAACATCCATTCCTATTAAAAACACTAGAGGGGCAGCGAGGTGGCACAATGGATACAGCATCAGCCCTGGAGTCAAGAGGATCTGAGTTCAAATTTGGCCTCAGACACATAAAATTCACTAGCTGTGTGACTCTGGGCAAGTCACTTAACCCCAATCGCCTCACCAAAAAAAACAAAAAACAAACAGACAAACAAAAAAACGCTGGAGAGCACAGGAATAAATGGAGTTTTCCTTAAAATAATAAGTAGCATCAATCTAAAATCATCAGCAAGCATTATATGTAATGGGGGCAAGCTAAAAGCATTTCCAATAAGATCAGGGGTGAAACAAGGGATATCCATTATCACCACTGTTATTCAA